AGGCCTGGCAAGAGGGTGACAGTTTGGACACCAAGGACGTTGTTTCAAAAACTTTCTTCAACTTCCATGATAAGACTGGCATCAGATTTGCAAAATCAATTTGAGTTTTTCCATTTTAAAGAGAAAAAAATTGTATTTAAATTCATCAAACCAAGCTCTCCCTTTTTCTCCGTAGGCTGTTTCAACAAATGACAGGACTGTGTTACATCACAAGACAAACTACACAGGAGAAGGCGGTAGATTTGAGAATAAATCATGTGTGTGTGCGACAAGGTGAAAGAAAATGAGAACAAGATCAATGAATTGTATTAACACAATGAATCTGTAGTGAAAACATTTATTCCAAGACAGCATAATTTAGAGCAGATGAGGATTAAATTTTATGTTTAGTATTTCTTGCATTTGGAAATGAATTGTTTGTTCAAAACCTGGAGTGTGCTCTTTCAGTTAGGCAAAGTTGATGCAAGTTTCTGTGGTTTGATCTGTTTTCTTGAACATAACATTATTATTATAGAATTAGTAATATACTGTAACTGCTTGTCCTATTCAGGGTTGCAGGGGGTCCAGATCCTATCCCAGACACCACGGGCACAACACAGGATGGAGTGCCATCCCATCACAGGACACACCTAACTCATGCACAATTTGGAAATGCCAATTCACCTTAGCAGGTTTTTGGACGGTGGGAGGAAACCCCACAATGACATGGGGAGAATATACAAACTCCACACACATGGAACCCTGGCAGAACCTCTTGCACTTAGGTAAAGCGAAAATGCATTTAAATCCATTTTAAAATAATCGAATCAAATACTAATAGGAACACTTGAATTTTTTAAACAGAGCACTTCAAGAAGTTGTCTCCATTTTCCCATATGAGTCATTAAAACGTTCCAAAATGTAGACCCACGACTTCACTGGAGGATATTTGTTTGATCCATCGCAACAAGTTATGGTGACGTCATCATCTGGATGCGCAAAGAAAGCCACAGACTGTCTGGTACT